GTTTTAAATGCAAATATATATATATATACAATATAATATATAAAAATATATATACAATATTTTGTGGATTTGAAGTAAATCTAGTAATTCATAAAATGAGTAATAATAATATGTATTATACAGTCATAACTTTTTTCAGGGAATGGAAGAGTTACTTTTACAGATACACACACTTTTACAGTTACTTTTTATAACAATGCAATTTTTTATGACTGTAATGATAACTAACTAAACGTTTAAGAGGCTACAATTTTAGCCTCTTAAACGTTTAGTTATTTATCATTAGTCATAAAAAATTGCAACATTATTACCACATTGTTATAAAAAGTAACTGTAAAAGTGTAACTATAAAAGTAACTCTTCCATTCCCTGTTTTTTTTTTAGGATGTAAAAACATTGAGATAATTGTTTAGAGAAGGTCATAGATTGTCAATTACTTCCATTTCAAGAACACGCGATGAATCTCAACGCGCGTACTTATATTCTTGAGAATCAAAAATATTTAAAAAAAATTATTTATCGCTTTATGAATTTATTAAAAGAGGCTTAATTGTTACACCTTGGTACGCGTTTTGAGTGGCCAATCGTTGCGTCGTTTCCTCGACAACGTGATCTCAATCTCCTCCTTCCTCGTGGCATTTTCGTCAGTTGTGCCTGTCATTTTGCTGTTTACTCAACCGTGCTATTGCACGAACGTCAACAGATGTTGTGGTTATGACCTTTCAATTCGGTAAAATCGAGAACGGAGTCATTCGAACTTAATCTGTCTCCTTTTACGATATTTATAGATCTCACGGACTTTATTATCTAGTCCGTTCGTTTCTCCTGACTTCGATCGCATCATCCAGCATTGTTAAATCACCGAATAAACGTTTTACTGTACGGCGCCATTGCGACGCCACGTGATTTTGACAGCCAAGCGCACCGTCGATAAAGCTGCAAGAACACTACCGGAGCTTTTTAAAATTATTATCGATTTTTGTTGAATATACAAATTGCTCAAGTAGTAACTGAATATTAATCAATGTAAGAATAAATAAAGAAAATATATAAATCGAACTGACCTTCGTCTCATTCAATTGTATCGGTCCAGAATATTATACTCTTTCGAGCTAATCTAATCGTCGAACGGTAATTCGTGGCGATGACCGTGATTGATTTCGATCGAGTTAGGTCAAATCGCGGTTCTCTCTTAAAAAAAAAAAAAAAAAAAACCGCGATTCCGATACCATTTTAATCTGTCGGCGATTACGTGTGTTGCTTCGTAATTTGCGAACCGATCATTTATCGGGAGGTCAATATTGTATGTACGGCTTGAAACGAGCATGAAAAATACGAAAGTGAGTGAATTTACTGGAATATTTATAATTCCATTGGTCAACTTCTAGCGAATTCGCTCGTCATTTTTATCTCGGTTAATTATAATAATTAATCAACCCCGAGAATTTATTAGGATCTATCTCGCGCGACCGGCGCGGCAGTGGGTAATGCCTGTCGCGGAACACGAAGTGATGGGCCGAGCGGCCGCGGATTCGAGGTACCGGGAATGCAGCCAATCAGCGATCCCCACGATGAGGACGATGCCACGCGTATGAGGCCGCGCGGAGAGCCAACAACGCGAGAGTCGCCAACCCGCCGACGCAGCGTCGTGCTCGCTCATTCATCGTGCGTTCTTCTCGCGGACGGTGTGCGGTCTTCCCGGTTCCTTTTGTCCCCGTCTCGACGACGTCTTCGTCCCAGCGAGGCAGGTCGCGCTTCGACGCGCAGGAAACGCGTAGGAAAGAGAAGGGCACGCAGCGTAGACAAAGGAAAGGAAGGTGAGGTATCCCACGATCGTCATGAGATCCGTCGGGGTATTCTGTTTGGCGGCACTCTGCCTGGCCGCGACCACCCTCGCCAAGGTCGAAGTCGAGGATGGGGTCCTCGTGGTCACCAAGGACAACTTCGACAGCGTCATCCAGGACAACGATTACGTGCTCCTCGAGTTCTGTGAGTATATACACGCCTCTCGTCGCGCGCTTCGGAGTTCGGCTGCGTTTTCAGAAGTTTCATTATCCGGATGCCCTCGAAGATCGTTATCCTCGTTCGGTGAATAAGGAACAAGGTGTTTCTCACCCAGGTGAAATTTTTCCAAGACCTAACCCGGTCTCCTCCGGGTGCGAATCCGCGTGCGCGCGTTCACAGAGTTCGTACATCTTGTATCCTGTTGATCTGTTGCTTTTCCGCGGAGGAGCTGCACCCTCGCGCCTGCACTTTCTGTACTCGCGCTCCGTGACCGGAGATGACTGAGGGAGCACCGGAGGTCGAGGGAAGACTCAAAATTGACGGCGACGTCGTGGAGGACGAATCCCACGTCGGGAATATTAATGTACATCTGCCGTGCGATCTGCCGACTCGCATTGCAGATTCGCCGGTTCTGCCAGACGCGAACCCAGTTACACGTCATCACTCGAGCATCCTCGAGGACGGTGACGGGGGACCGGGTTAGAGACACGCGACTTTTCCACGACGATCGCCCTCCGGCTGACGTACTCCGGTCTTCTTCTAAGCCTCTTTCGATTTCCAAAGATACCCCCCCTTCAGTTTCTTCTCTCGCGATCTCTTTCTCCCCCTTCTGCTTTTCTCAGCGTCCCATGAGGAAATCTGTGCGTGATCGGTCGCAGGAAGATAAAAGAGTGCAAAAAAATGCCCCGAGAAGATCCATATTTGGGGACGACCATGCGTCTGCGAGACGCTCGTCTATATTTGTTTATCGATATTTATTCATCGCGTCCTTCGGCCGCCCCCTCGCAACCTAAGTTTCTAACATTTTTTCTCTCCGTTGATCTTTCTGTACCTCCTCTCTCTTTCCACGCGTCTGTCGAGAGCTCGGGTGCAGAAAGTGCATCTGCAAAGACGGGTCTCACTTCTTGACTTTTTTTTTTTTACCGTTATACACGTATGCCTCTTGCAAATCGTCTGACGATTATGAGGCCGGGTGTAGCGTCACGATAATGGTGTTGATGACGAGGACGATTGCCGGGAACGGACGCTCATAGACACATTCTATGTCTATACGGACGTAATGTTCATAAATGGTACAAATTCGACGCATTAAAAGACAGAATTAATCGCATTCTTCGGAATTGAAATTCGATACACTGATTATCAATTTTAGATCGCTATCTGCTATTTTGTCTTGAAAGTTTAAGCGACCATATGGTATCCCAATAATTTGATATTAATGATGTAAATGTTTGGAATATTTCGTATACAATTTAAATTTTTGAAATAACATAGCATTATATTATTCTCCGATATATTTCATTTTATTTTATTTTTTAGAATTGAACTGTTTCGATAATAGACCTTCAAAGTCCGTGGATCTTAATGATACAAAGCTACAACATGATTTATAGTTCTAACTAACAATAAGTACTGTATCAATCATGAGAAAATGTAAATTTGAAAAATTAAATTTTGTAACAAATCTAAAATTCAACTAGTACAACCAATAACGAACAAATAAGATGTATGTTAAATTATAATAACAATTATTCACATATATTTAAAATTATATCAAATTGAATACAAAATAGATTAAAATATATAAGATGTTTCAATTCATACAGTCTTCTTCAGTTTCAATACAATAAAACAATAAAAAACAAATAAATAAATAAAATATCTTATGTATTCTAACTACAAAAATATAACTCGAAAAAAATGTATGTCGAATTAAATTTTGTAATATTGAAACAGGAATTGCAATATGATGATTGTCTTACATGCTAGCAAGTACTTCCAATGTGATAAATTATATTTATTATGTATTTATAAGAGTCACATAAAAGTTATTAGGCACTAGATTTTGAGTATGACTTTCTTCACTTACTCCAAGTTAGCAAATATTAAAATTTTGCTTACAAATTGCTACTAAATTCGATAAAAATATTCGATAAATTTGCATTAACTGTATCTGCATTAAGCTTGTGTTTTACTGACAGAATTTACTAGTATAATGTGAAATCAAGTTAGCAACATCGATCGAATAAAACTTTGTTTAATTCTGGTTTTGATTAGTTCTTTAATTTGCTGTCAGATTGTCAACAAGTCTTATATGATTTTGCCTTTAATTTATTGTCATATTTTATCAGCGAATTTTATTGTAAGTATATTTGCTGCCATTTTGCTGATACCATTAAATATAACAAAATTTGCATTAAATTTGATACTTTTTATCGATAAAATTTGTAGTAAGCATATGAAAAAATAATATGTATTAAGCATACTAGACTAATTGAGTTTGTGGTGTGTGTGTGTGTGTGTTAAACATTTAGGTAATTATTTACATATAATTATCTAAATCATATGTAATTTAGCTAAGGGATATTTATCGAGACGCATAAAGTCATCATTATTGAATTTTTTAAAGCTAAGGTATAATCATAATCATCCTTTCTTGTAATTCTTGTATTATGACAATAATTTTTTACTTTTATATACTAATATTATATATTTCGCATTTTAAACTATTATCAATAATGATTTTATTGAATTATAGAATTTATTCATTTCAGTTTTTTTGACAAAGCCAAGAAGGAGATTTGGCAGTAATAATTTTATTGTTATAATAAAAAATACTCAGAGAAATAATTTGTTGGAACAGCTTACCTATTTATATTTCTTGGTTGTAGATGCTCCATGGTGTGGACATTGCAAAGCACTAGCACCCGAGTATGCTAAGGCAGCAAAGAAATTAGAGGAAACTAACTCACCAATCAAATTGGGCAAGATAGATGCGACAGTCGAGTCGGCACTTACTGAGAAACACTTAGTGAGAGGATATCCCACTCTCAAATTTTACCGTAAAGGAACTCAAATTGACTACACAGGAGGCCGTCAGGCTGACGAGATTGTAAACTGGTTGCTCAAAAAGACTGGTCCACCTGCCAAAGATCTGTCTACGGTTGACGAAGCTAAGGCATTTATCGAAGCACACAAGGTCGCCATTGTTGGATTCTTTAAGGTATAATTACAATCTTCCTTTTCTCACACCAATAATTTTCTATTTTTAAGTACTAATACAGAATATTTTTTGTATTTTAAACTATTGTAATAACCAGAAGTAATCTGTTGCAACAGCGTTTATATATAATAACGACTTTATTAGGATGTTTCAAGTGATGTCGCCAAGGTATTCTTGGAAGTTGGTAGCATAGTGGACGATCATGTGTTTGGTATTACAAGCGCCGACGAAGTGTTCAGCGAATACGGAATTGAAGATGGAAAGATCGTGCTATTTAAGAAGGTTCGTCTATACGTAGTATACTGTATAATACCAATATTATAACCATCACGAATTAAATGAGTTTCTATTTCTTGAAATCGTAATCTAAAATCTGTGATTAATCTATATTTGTAGTTCGATGAAGGTAAAGCTGTCTTTGATGGAGAGTATACGACTACAGCTGTACAGAACTTTATCTCCGTATTTTCATTACCTCTGGTTGTCGAATTTAACCAGGATACAGCGCAGAAGATCTTCAGCGGAGATATCAAGAGTCACTTGTTGCTTTTCCTCAGTAAAGAAGCTGGTCACTATGACAAATATATCGAAGGAATTCAAGAACCGGCGAAGAAATACCGTAGCGAGGTATGAAATTTTATGCATCACTTAACTCGCTATATTATTTTAAAAAAGAAGAATCGATATAATACTTCAAAACGTCTATGCATAGGTTTTGTTTGTGACAATCAATTGTGATGAAAGCGATCACGAACGTATCCTGGAATTCTTCGGTTTGAAAAAAGATAATGTACCCGCTATGCGGCTTATCAAGCTCGAACAGGACATGGCTAAATACAAGCCTGACAAACCAGAGATTACCACCGAGAATATTCTGGAATTTGTCACTGCTTTCGTAGAGGGCAAACTGAAACGACACCTGCTTACCCAAGACTTGCCGGAGGATTGGGACAAGAACCCGGTTAAGATTCTCGTCGGCACAAACTTCCACGAGATTGTCTTTGACAAGGAAAAGGATGTTTTTGTTGAATTCTATGCTCCTTGGTGCGGTCATTGTCAGCAGTTAGCGCCCATTTATGACCAAGTACGTTTCTTTTTCATTGAAATTTTAATTGTAATAATTATAGATTATATAGGTAATTACTAAGTAATTTTATTAATCGTCGAACATACTAAATTTAGCTTGGAGAAAAATACAAGGACAATGATAAACTGGTTATCGCAAAAATGGATGCCACTGCTAACGAGTTGGAGGACATAAAAGTCTTGAACTTCCCCACACTGACACTCTATAAGAAAGAGACGAATGAGGTACGCATCTTTCTTATATTCATTCCCCAACTCATTATATTTATAATACATTGTGTTTATTTTATATAATTTATTATTATTTAATAATTTATTTTATTACTGTAGGCTGTGGAATACAATGGTGAGAGGACACTTGAAGGTCTTTCCAAATTTATCGAAAGCGGTGGCGCATATGGCGAAGCTGCAGAAGAGGTATGTCAAGGAGTTTTTTAATTTAAAATTTTTGAACTGAAAGATAATAAGCTATGTTGAGTAATATCTTTTAAAATTTTATGATGGATAATCTTATATTACAACTATACTACATTATTTATTTCATCACAGGCTCAGGAAGAGGACGAGGATGATGATGTGCCAAGGAAGGACGAGTTGTAAACGCACATAATCATTATTATAAGAAGTAAAATCAACATTGACTCGTCTGTTGTATTTCCTGCATCCAGTCAATGAACTCCACAATTTCCCGCTTTATAAAAATATTTCATTTCTTATTAAGATAAAAAAAATTGATGGTGCATCTTCACACATTTGTTACTTTAGGAATTAAGTTTATATTAGGTAAATCGCAGTGTACAATTTGTAATTAAGAATTTTGTTTGCGGTTTTTCATAGGGTTATCGTCACAACTAATACCAGCTCAAATGGCGTACTTCCGTGATACGTAGAATCACTTTATCTTGATAGTAAAATATAAATTATGTAAACAAAGAATTATGAGACTTTACAATATACTTGGGTATTTAATACACAATAATAACAAATGTTTTCCGTATTTCTGTATGGTTACGCCATTTGTGTTAAGTGTGTTGACTTGATGTGACTTTCTACCTTCTGAAAACTGCGACGTTATCATAGTTTCGCGCTTTTATTATTCCATAGTGTGAAACGTGGGACGGGAAGATAAATTATTAATCTAAAAACGTCTTAAAGTCACTGTTTATTTTTATAAGGACATTTTATCGACAGATGTCTGAATGATTCGTTGCTCGTTGCGGCGCGCAAGCGGAAGCGAATCTTCGAGTGCTGTATGAGAGCTAGTGGTTTATAAACACATTTCCAATTTTTAGCATTTAAAACTATCATGACAAGTGATGGTTTTAGATATATATAGTTAGGATAGGCAGCCGTTTCAATGTCTCCTAGTTTCAATTGACTGAAACTCTAGGAAATTAGCAATGAAGCACATATTGTGGAAAAAAGAAAAAAGTGAATTACATATATATATATGTATGTATGTATATGTATATACCTACACATATATATACATATATATGCATATTATTCTTAATATATGAAGATTATATATATTCTATTCTGATTTACGTCTATTTTTTATTACCATTTCTATATATATAAATGTATGCTGTATACAATACATTGTATATATAAATATAATTTTCAACATTTTTTCTACACGTATGACTTATCAAGCTCGCGTGTTCAACTTGTATCCGGTAGACAATTTTAATGTGTTTACACAAGTGAACAAAATAATGGATGGTTACACAACCATTACATTTCACATAATACACAGGTATTTATGGTTATCTTATTGCCTTAGGCAATGATTATATTATTCGTTAATATGATTAACGCTTTGAGTGGCATGAATATTTTTTTCCACCTTATTCATTTCCTCACCGTTTTTCTATGATAACGTTTGGTTTATATTTTTTTTTTATTAGGATCGCAGACATACGGGAGTAATGGACCGTACATTGAATTTGTCAGATTTGTACGAACTGTTACATAACACTTTGTTAATAACAGAGGAAGTAAAGGAAATATTAAGAAAAGATTGTGACGAAGCAGCATTTGTCTTAAAACCATGGCAGGTGAAAACCGTCGTTGAAAAACGAACCGACGAAAGCATTTGTATTTGTAAAAAAGTAATTACGATTTATTTATATATTTTTCTTTTAATTTATGTTTTATATATTTAAATTGATATACATTTGTTTTATTTATTATTAATTAATAGAATGAAAACGAAGCTGAGGAGATCGCGGCGGGGATAGGTAGAGCGATCATTCTTGCGCAAGAACTGCGGGAAAAATTGAAGCTTAACGTAGCATCGAAAAAGAAACCTTTAAGGAAAGACACAGTCAAAAATATTTATTTACCCAATCCTGCGTCGACTAGTAAGAAAACTTTGAAAAGCAATATTACAACGCAAAAAACAAATACCGTAAAAAGCCCCCATTGTAAAAGATCAAGTGCACTTCAAAACGATAAAGTAACTTCTGTCGCGACGAAAAAATCTATCAGCGGTACAAAGCAAAGTAACGCAATCGAAACGATGCAGTCAAAGGCGTCATCCGCAAAAGTTGCGGGAAAGATACAGAAAGGAAAGAATTTTATATTGGAAAATAAATTAAATATTAAGAAGATAAGTTCAGCAAATAAACTACAAATTGGTGATCCTAGTGATATTTCGCAAAATGTATGCACCAATGCCGCAATAGTTCAATATTATCAAATATAATAGAATATTGAAAAATTTTGAATGTAAATTTTCATTGCGTATTTATATTTCAGTCAAGAAAGTCTCTACCACCTGAAGCATCAGCTGCTGAATTAAGCGATTTGATACATAAAATGACACGACAATCTACTGAGAGTACATCAATTTCTTCTCCCGGGAATACTAAGAACGATTGTCCATTGCATGGAAATAATGGACATCAATCCGTTCAAGAACAAATTGTAGCGATAGATGTAGTGGAAGCGCTCCGGCATTTTAATGTACCGAATGAAATTGTTAAAGTATTGAGAACTTATCATACGTTTTTAAAAACTGAAGCAGATAACTCGAATGATATTAAAGAGGATAGGTTTCAGAAATCTGTTAACACTTTTTTAAAAGAATTCGAAGCAATGGTAAGTAATATAGATGGAAGGAGAAAGAGCATATTTTTAAAATTATATAAAATTGATTCCTTATATTATTTATAATTATTGCAGAATATAATCGTGCAAGATCATTTATTAGAAGAACCTCACTTGCTTAATAAGACAGCAAAATCAATAACTGTATTTAGTAATATTTTTACTGAAGATTTAGATTCGAGCCAGTCCAATGACATGAAGCTCACTTCCACTGAAGTAGGAACCTCTTTTAAAAAGCATGATATTAAGAATATTGCAAAACCGGTTACAAAAGATTCATATAATCTGTCTTTGACCAGAGGATGGATGTCGAACGGCATTTGGAATATTTCCTGCATGGAGCATTTTAAAAGTAAATTAACATTTTGTACATTAATCACAGTTTTAAATTTTAATTTAATTAATCTAATCACGTTAATATCTCAATTTCTGAATTTTGTTGTAGATTTTTCTAAAGCATACAATATAAGATACTGTAACAAGAAGCAATTATTATTACTATACGAAGCAATACAAAAGTTGCAGCGCACTAAGTATTTAAATACATTAATCGGAATTGTTTTACGCGACGTGATACCCACCGTTAGATCTAACATTGAACCTGCAAATGCAGAATATGCACAAGCATATAAAACAATGTTCATTCTCTCCCAAGGTTTAAATCCCGAAGTGCCGGTTTTAGTGAAAACCGATAGCTAAGTCTCACATCTCATGATATATTCTCTGTTACTATAGTAACCGCACTGTGTATGTACTGTTTAATTGACTATTCACTTTTCGTGAAATCATAGACTGGAACTATGCAGAAGTGTTTTTTGTTATGACTTTTATAACATTATTGTGCTGATAATAATTAAAACGTTTTGTGCCATTAAGTATTTCTTAATAAGTGTGAAAAATAAAATTTTGATATCCAACACTAAAATTTGTAAAAGTGAAAGTATCCTAGAATCGTGTATTTCCCTACATATAGTTATCTTTATACACAATGGATTCGGAGTATGCTTATACAAAGAAGAGAATGCATTTTGGAAAGAGCTGCAATTTTTCCGACTTCGACAAAATAGAAGTGGAAATGCAATCGAATCCGGCGTTAATGAGTAATTATGTTAGAATGGATCCCGTGACACACGCTACGCAATGCAGTAAAGTCTTTGCGGTTCACGAGGTAAAATCATAATTTTAATAAATGACATTTGTGGAAAAACATTTAGCAAAATTTTTATACATAGTGTACATGTTAAGGTAAATACAACTACTGCAACGTACAGGGATAATAAAATGTTTCATTATGAGGGTGGCTGGCCGAAGGACATAAACATGAAGGATCTAGAACAAACAGTCAGATATAGACGTAAGATCGAGAAAGATGAATTGTATATTCATACAATGCTTCAGCTGCTACCTGTAACATCTCTTTTGTCGTTCTTTTAAAGCTATTGGAATATTTTTATATATATAGAATTATTCATAAGACATTTTTTTCAAGTCAATGGAGCACTGTATTTTGCAAAACAACGCTTGCAACATTTATGAAGAATACTTCGCCGATGTGGAAGCGATTCCACTGATACAAAGAGCTTTTTCGCGCACAGTGAACGTTTACCGCGATCCTTTAACGATGAAACGGCAGATCACTCATCTATCGTGGTCGCCAGACCAAGGTAATCGCTTTGCGGCTAGTTATTGCAACGTTGATTTTAAAAAAACCTTCAGCAGCAATTACACGTCGTACATCTGGGAAGTAGGTACGTTGATAAAAGCAGCCGAGATTGAAGCTAATTGATCGTCGATTATATTTATGAAAAATTATTCCATAGAAAATCCGAATAATCCTTACATAACGCTAAAACCTTTTTGTCCGATCCTGACGTTGGAGTACAGCCCTAAAGATAGCAACACCTTGATAGGTGGTCTGATAACTGGACAGGTGGGTTGCTGGGACATTCGAAGAGGTCCAGAAATGATAGACATCAGTTCAATTGAGTTTAGCCATAGAGATCCCTGTGATAAAACCCTTTGGATTAATTCCAAGACTGGTACCGAGTTTTTTAGCGCCTCGAAAGACGGACAGGTATAATCTTGTTCAATAGCGATCGTATCGACAATGAGTCCGTATATCGGGATACATGTTGTTTGTTGTAGATAAAGTGGTGGGATACTAGAAAGTTGCAAATTCCAACAGAAACTTTAGTAATAGATTTATCGAAACCGGAAAATCAAAATGTGGACAAAGCTACCGGTATCTCGGCTCTTCAATTCGAACCCTCGATGGGAACCCGTTTTATGTGTGGCTTGGAAAACGGTATAATAAATATATCATTGTTGAGAAAATTATATGTTTAGATACTATTTAAACAATTATACTTCGACATATATAATTTTGTGATAATTTATATACAAGAAATATTCACTAAAAAATTCAAAGTGAAAAAAAGATTGAGTGTTATGGAACTTTTTTTTTTTTAATTTGAAAGATCGCAATACACATTTAAATACACGGCACATAAAATTCCAAAGTAATAAAAAATAGAAATCTAAATGCAAAAAATAAACTAACGTTCGATAAACAAATTTAATTATACATTTTTATGAAAAAGAAATAGATCAATGTTATAACAATAAGAATAGTTTTGTTTCTTACACTGAAAAGAAATCTTAATTTCAAATAAATATTTTTTGTATGTATTCAAAAAAATTATTTCTTTCATTCAATGAAAATTTTTTTGAAATTAAGATTTTTTTCAGTATAGGTATGGTAATATCGGGAAATCGCAAAGGTAAAACGCCCGGTGAAAAAATTGCAACTAGATTTAGAGCTCAGTATGGACCGGTTATAAGTCTGGAGAGAAACCCAACGTTCGTAAAAAACTTTTTGACGGTTGGTGATTGGACCTCGAGAATTTGGTCGGAAGATTGCAGAGAGTCTTGCATAGCATGGACGCCGTATGTTTAAATGGGATAATGAAACCTTTAAAAAACTATAATCTTAATTCTTATTCAATGCCAAATCTTTAGTGGTCATCGAGACTTTTTAACGGGTGGTGCATGGAGTGCTACGCGTTTTTCTGTGTATTATCTGATTAAAGTTGATGGAACTTTAGATGTGTGGGATTTTTTAATTCAAGAGGACAGCCCAGTTCTCAGTGTAAAAGTATCTAATTATTATTATAATTAGACGATCGCGTGGATAGTGTAAATAAATTTTAACGATATAATTCGTTCGAAGGTTTGCGATGAAAGTTTGACCTGTTTACGACCGCATGAGCAGGGTCAACTGGCTGCAGTGGCGAATAAAAAAGGTTCGACTTATCTGCTCGAATTTTCAGAGGCTTTAACGGCCAATCAAAAGAACGATAAACTGCTATTAACTGCGGTAAATATTAGATTTATGAAAAAATGTACTTTGTCTATTATCATAAGAATTATAAAAAAGAAGAATATATCTCGTTACATAAACCTCTAATGACGTATCTAATTTATAATATTAATATTATTATATAATTGATCATTTGTTATTATATTTTAATTGTTTAATTACGAATTTTTAAAATTTGTAGATAATATTATTTTAAACATACATATATCTTGATAAACCATGCGACGTAATGTGTGAACAGAATAGTTTATTTCTAATTTATCTTAATGTATAGCGCAAGGAAAATATCTATACATATATTTTGCGAGGTTTCGTTTCTGGTATTATAATTCAATATGGTAATATTACGTCGAATTATATTCATTTCTCTAGCTTCTCGATCGTGAAACACGTCGCGAGAAGGTAATAGAAGCAAAAAACAGGGAACAACGATTGAAAATGAGGACTTTGAAGATGCATGGCGAGTCAGATTTTATTGATGCTTCCCTGAAACCAGATGAACGGGAAGAGTCTAAGGAATCTTCTGTCGGTTTGAAGAATGCACTGATAGTGCAATGCGAACAAGAATACGAAAATATAATTAATGCGGTAAGAGGATTTCTGTCATTTAACGATAATAAACTATATAAAATTCTGCGCGAACACAGATACATTTTTAAATCCGATTATTATTATACTACAGGAATTAACGCGACAAACGGAAGCAAATACCGTTGAACTGAATAACAATGTGATGCAGAATGGTGCGATTATAAATTAAGCTAATTAAGTGTAAGTTAATGTATGTAATTTAATTATGAATAATTAACATAAGATATTTTTGCCTGCTTTAATTAGATTATCACATATTCACATTATAAGAGATAAATATTCTAAAAGAAAGTACTTTTTGCTAAAATAATCGAAGAACTAAATATACGTTAAAATAATAAATTTTGTATTTTTAATATTAACCCTTTGTTTGCAATTTTATTCTTTCTGTCTGCAATTTGAGTCTTTTCTCCAGCCCAAGGTTTTATACCTTGAAAAAAATGAAAAATGCGGAAAGGACAAGAATTCTTGTCCTTTCCGCATTTTTCATTCTTTTTCTTGAACTTTTTCTAGCTTTCTTGCTTGCTTTCTTTGCCCTTTTTTCCTCCCTCGATTTTTTGTTTCTGCTTTTAGACATTGTAAGCGAGCGGTTCACTCCCATTTTCAGTTCACTAAATCGACCAACTAACTATTCAGGCAGATGTGTCTCTCTTCAGAGCTTTGTTATAATAAAGTTTTCACTGAATGGTAATAGTACAGATCAAAATTCTTATAGCTTAAGATTAATCAAATATTTTCATTTTTTATTCATACTGATTGGATAATTAGTTAATAGAAAAAAAAATCATAAAGAAATGTTTAGTCATTTTTTATCTCAATTTAAATTAAATATTTTTTATCTCAAAAACTATTAATCTTATGAAAAAAGTCTAAGAAACAAAAAATGCTTATTTTGATCCAATTAAGTTTACAGAATCTTCATTCGAAGATTTTGTAAACAAAAAATTGTTCTCAACTTAACAATCACTTAAAAAAAAGTCTATATAAATATTTTCTTGCAGAATAATATAAGGAATTGAATTAAATCAGTTCCAGCTACTAAAATTTTGGTTGGTCAGTTAATGTATTTTCTAATCGACTCGTTTGGGGGTAAACCACTCGCTATTGGCAGAAAAAAAATGTAGGAGGTACTTCGGGATTATTTCACGAAACATCTCTGTTTACATTTTTTCTCCTCTCAAATTCTTGACGCTCAAATTAAAGTCAGTCTGCAGCTTGACTTGTGTTTAACAAGAACATTTGCTGATGTCTTGTTTCTAATTCTACATTCCTTTACAATTACATAACAGGTAAGTGTATGAGTCGAATCAAGTTCTATTTGAACAAGTCGGAATCTAGTAATAAAGTAGAAAATTGTGAATAAAAATTTCAAGATCTCTGTGTGATTTTTAAAAATTTCCAACTGATTGTTAGATATTAATATCATATATACATATATTATTAGGGGGTTGCATTAAAAGCCACTGTTTACGTTTAAATAGCTGTAGCTGTGTATGCTATAGAGATATCTATTTATACTTATGTCATTTTAAAGTAATATTTTATACAGTGTAAACATTTTCCATTAAAATTCAGTCAGCAGACACCATCCTTGTTTACACATGTGCTTTTTTATGACTGAATTAAGAGGACACTGGAGTTACCGATGAAACACTCATTTCGTATTTCTCATTTCTTTTTCCTCTCGCCGCTCCAATTCCAACTCACTCGGAATGTCGGAAAGACAAGGGTATGCTCTTCCCGTGGTATACTACTGCGCAGATTTAGAGTAGTGTGGAAATAGAACATCATCGACTATTTTCGAAGCAGTTCGAGAAGATCCGGTTTCGCAAAACAACGCCATTGTGGTTGATTGTGGTTATAAAACTTTTTATAAGGTGAATTTTGTGTATATTTTTGTAAAAAATTATATTTTCTCGTGAAAGATGAAGTGTGCAGTTAAGGTTGCTGTAATTATTATTTAAAAACAGTAAAGACGCCTGAAGAATATATCATATTTATTCGTTCAAATTTACCATTTATCGATGACGTATGTTGGTTTTATATGTGACGTAATGGTCTCTATATGCGCAAGAGCCACGAAACTTCGTGGCAAGAGCATACCCTTGTCTTTATACCATGGTAGACAGCACGCGGCCGATGGATGAGCGCCGACAGAGAGCATAAGCGGACGGTAAAAAATCGACTTCATCAACCTCGATTCGGCCGTAGCTCCAGCATTCCCTTAAAATCACTTAAAATGGAACGCGAAGAATCGTTTTTCCGAAGTGTACTTTTGTACTACTTTGATTTGAAAAAAAGTGCAGCTGAAACTCATCGATTGCTTGTAGAAATTTATGGTGAATCTGCTCCATCCGAAACATTATGTAGAGACTGGTTTCGACGATTCAAAAATGGTGACATTCACGACAAACAACGAACAGGCTAGCCGAAAAAGTTTGAAGATGAGCAACTGCAAGCTCTATTAGAAGAAAATCCAACTCAAACACTCAAAGAATTGTCTCAACAACTCGAAGTCAATCAAACAACTATTTCACAATGTTTACGAGCTATGGGAAAAATTTGGAAAGAAGGAAAATAGCTGCCACATAAATTGACCGAAAATGCCACTGCTAAATATTGTTTAAACAGCCAGAAAAGTGGAAAAAATAAGTCATAGCTTCCAAAGGGAAAATACATTGATGAAGCTATTCATATATATATATATATATTTTTTGTCATTGAAATAAATACTTAAATATAAAAGAAAACAGTGGCTTTTAATGCAACCCCCTAATATATGGAACAATTCGAGAATTTCATATTTTTTATTAAATTATTATCGTTCGATTCTTCGTAAGAAAAATGACACAAGTCGAAATTTTTTGAATTTTGTATTATGTGCGGATTATATTCTCGCTCGGAAGTCAGCACGGAGAAGGTATATCAATATTTTTCCAAAAAAAATGGTAAAATCAAAATAGAAATTGTAACATCATAATTAATATTTACATTATTTCTAAAAAATTTTAAATGAACTTAAAATAAGCAATTTATGATTACCTCTATAATTGTAAGTTATGTTTATAATGCTGCTATAATAAAAAATTAATTTTAAAATTTATGCAGTTTTTTTTCTCTCTCTTGAATAATATTGTTTATATGTGTCATTTATCTTGTTGGAGTACGATAAATCTTGAATTTATCGCAACATTTATTATTATTACAAAACTCATTTTTGTCTTGTATAATTTTCAAGTAATAATAATAATAAATTTTTATGGTCCTCGTAAGGTTACAATATTATCCTTATATACAGTCCGAAACATAAACATTTACATATTTCGTATCATTAATCTATTTACACTCTTATCATACTTTTTTAGCCTAAGCTTATTTATTGTCTTTTCTTTATTTCGCATCTACTTTAAATCTTTTCATTACTTTCTCGCTCTAATCGCTACTCTGTCTTTTTTTCTCTCTACTTCCTTTTCGACCTCCGTCGCATTTGCATACCTCTTTACACTTCTGGTAGCCTCCCTCCTCTCATCTTCCCTTAATTTTCCAGTAATACTTAAATTTATAAGTAATGTAAAATGTTTAACAGCGCGAAGTGTTTATTAAATCAGCGATTTACTTAATAACTAAAATTGTTTTTTCAATTTATTTTGTATCATGTATATGTATATTGATCTTTAATTAATTTACTCAAGAATTTTTTTTTTGTTAAATAGAAAGAGAAATATGTATCCCGCGCAGAATTCGTATGATATGCAGCTCGATTTAAAAATACTTTTCGAGTTACCACGATCGAAACAAAGGCGGATGCTAGGGCACCATTTATATCCGCTGGTTTATAACGTACATCCGAATTTTATGCCTCACAAGCTCACGGATATCCTACTAGATCTCAATTCTATTGACGTATTGATTTCTATGATAAATGATGCCGAACTCTTCGATCAAAAACTCAAGTATGCTGTCAACGTGCTTCAAACTTATTATTGTATATCTAGATGAAAAATACCATCGAGAAGCCACCACAACGTAGTTGTCATATGTATCTAATTCGTAGTCATATATATTTTATATTTCATAAAATAATTTAATAAAAGGCTCAACAAGTATAAAAATTTATACTTTAATCATTTTAAATTAAATGTTTCCCTCTTTCCTTTCTCTTTTTTCTTATTATATTGTAACTTTTTACTATTTACTGTAATAATGCGCGATATGAAATAATATAATACGTGAAAGAGAGAGATAATTATTTAATAAAGTTTTTTAAATTGTATTTTATTTTTTCATTTTCTTTATTTTTTCCCTTTTTTTTTTATATTTATGTTGTATAGTTAGGATTATTTACTTATTTACTATATGAGCCAAAAAACTTTTTCCCCATATTATGTAATGAGAAATATTTTTTTCATAAATAATTCAGCAAATATAACTATAATTTAGCGAGAGAGTAATATTGAAGAAACGGGGATTAATTTGTTAGAGCCAGAAGTACATATCTCTCGCAGACAATTGTTCCTAAACTATTATTCTGCAATAAGTTACCATTATTGTGCTTAAAAAAGTCCATTATTTATTTTCTCTTTTCTTTAGTACGTGTCTGAATCAAAAGTACATTAAAAGACTATTACATACATCACTTTTAACTTTTCTACTGTTTTCTTTGTTGCGATTTATCTTCCTGACTTTTACTTTTTTAGGTTTTGCGAATATATCTATTTTTTATTTTAAGTGGAGAAAGTGGATAAAATTTAAGAATAGTTTGCAAAGCTATTATGTATAGGCTATTTATGTACACGCAACCTTTTTTAAGACCATTTTTACAAGGTTTATATTATAGTTTTAGAAACTGAAAGCAGATCTTTCGGGCTGCTATAAAATAGAAACTGTGCAGATTATATTTTTCTGACTATATACGAACTGGCAATTCGCAATTGTGGACCGCGGATGCATCACTGACATACAACAAAAAAATAAAATTAAATAAGTGCAATTTTTTCGGTTTGAGATTGCATAAAATTAATTTCAATCGAGAATTAAAAGGCGAGTTTTGGATTAGAAAAAAATAAAAGATAAGGATATCAGTAACCTTGTAATTATAAATCATAGAAATTTAGTGGATTGAAATGCTAATGAACTCGATTATGGAGCGTATATTACAAGGAGAAATAAAAGTAATTTGTCGAGTAAAATATTAAAAGGAGCTCTCGATCGCGGCAGTAATTATTATTTTTTATCTCATCGAATTTTATCGTACAAGTGCAAGCATTTTGTATTAAAACGCATGCAGGAATAATTTGCACAAAAATTGCATGAGGAAATGCATGAACGGTTTGAGTTCTCGGTTCGTGGTCGCCGCTGTCGTTCCCGTATATCGATCGATCCATGCTGAACATAATCACTCCCACACCTGGTGTGCCGTCTGTTAGTAACACGGTTCTCCTCACATAACAAACATAGTTACGTAGAATTTATACATCGCGAGTAAATTAAGTTTATATATATATATATACGTGAATATTAATGGAGATTGCAACGAGGACAGAATTATTTTCTTCAGGGCTGTGATGATATCACGTAGAGTGTATTCGCAAGTATTATAAGTGATCGATCGGCTCGCACAAGTGGAACACACGCGATGTTCTCTCGTACACGACCTTCTTTTTCTCAGCAGTGAGCGTCAGCTGCAGCTTCAAGAAACCCGCGAAGTCGCAGAAATGGCCAAGTCCACCGAGTCTACGAGAGGTAGAAGATTGAGGAGATCGCGCAACGTTTCCTCTTTCTTCGAAGAATCGACGGAGGACGCGGTGCCGCCGAAGACGACGATAAACGTCCTCGTGGACGTTCACAACGGGGGTGAAAGTTCAAGACAACGACAGCAAGACAACGAAAATGATATTACGATCGATAAGGAGATCAAACGATCCTCCGAACGATCTTCCCAAAGTTCTAAAGCTTCTTCACGAGCGAGCGAAGGGCCTCAGAATCGTTCCTCCGATCGCAGGAGTTCCTCGAAGGATCTTCCCAAACATGACGATTTGTTGGTGGAATCGTTAGATCTGATAGAGGAATTCGAGGCTCCGAGAAAAAGGGACGAGTCTCTCGAAGAAAAACCACGACGCAGGAAGCAATGGAGCACCGTGGTGAACGTGACGAACGAAACGGAAATAGACTCGAAGAGACCACCGCGGAAACGCTGGTCCAAGGACGCCGGGGTGATCCGATTACCCGAGACGAGCGATGACGCGTCCCCGTTGATCGAAGACACGCGTAAAACGCCGGTACCAGCACCGCGAACCACCTTGCGGCGCAGTGACGTCCTCTTCGACAATCCAGCGTTCGTGTCCGATAACGAGGACGAGGTGCTCCGGATCGAGACTGATCACAATCGGGAGAGTACCAAGATTGAATTGAGAAAAATGAGCGATCGCTCGAACGTCGAGGACGTGGACGACGCTGGGATTCTGTCCAGCGGTTCTTCGAGGAGGCATCGACAGGAATCGGTGATGAGCGAACGTCTCGCGGTGGACAGTGACGATCGTTCTTCGAAGGCGAGATTTTCGGAAAGTCGAAGGATTAGCGTTGGAGAACTCGGTTCGTCGGCGAGTCTGGAGAGGATCACTGATGTTCGATCGAGCTCGATCGCCTCCGAGGAACGAGTCCCCAGCGGCCGGAGATCCAAGCCGAAAACGAAGCGCGATCAATCCAGGAGGAAGGAGCGACCGTTGTTCAAGAAGAAGGAGATCACTTCCGGCGAAGACGTGCCGGTCAGCTCATCTGCGAGGGATGCGAATTCAACGACAGAGACGGATGCAAGGGTGAGAAAGAAGAGGAAGAAGAAACGTAAACAGGAAAAGGAGAAGGAAGAGGTGAAGTTTATCTCCGTGACGATTCACCGGGCTGACGTGCTGGAAGCCGATTACGTGAACGTGAGGCGACCGATGGTCAGAGTTCATATCGTGGACACTCGCACGGGCTCGTATCTGAAAAGCACGGAGAACAGCGGTACGTATCTTCAGCCGATGATCACCGGCAAGTTTGACTTCAAGAAGAATAGGTCGATGATACCTGTCTGGGAAGAGGAGCTCATCTTTGAACACAACTTCGACGCGATCATGAGGCGCGAGGATAACGAACAAGTGGTGCTACTTTTCGAGATTATAGAGCTTCTGAGCTTCGCCGACGCGAGCATCAGTTACGACAAAATTGGTGAATTTCTGCTGAAATCTTATAAGTATATAATATCATTTATAGCTATGTTTGGTAAGAAAGTAATAATGAGAGTGCATAAGAGTTAATTATCTAATTGTTCCTTTTTATTGCAATTTTATATAAGAGTTTATTTTTTCGTTTCTTCTGTAAATTAATTAATTATTTTATTTACGTTAAAAGTGATTAACATAAGATTACATGTTTTTGAAAAAATACGGATAACAATATAGTAATCACATAAATTCTCAAGAATAGAGATTTGTTAATATTGAACAAATCGAGAACCAGAAATAAATTAAATAAATTATTCGATTGTAAATGTTATGAATGTATATAATATTTGTTGTAATATTATACTCTTACAATTTTGTTTAAAATTGCATCGAGTTTTTTGCTTGCAAAAGATCTATACTAATAATTCAGCAATTCAGGTAGCGAGGGATGCTGGAACAAAATCGCCTGGGCATTTCTTAAGCCCGTAGGAGCCAATAACATTCTTCATACGGACAAAAAAGTACGATTGCAACTTTACAAGCCGAGACGGACTTTTAAAAAGTACGGAAGGCAAAAGTGCGAGGTATTTACTATTTATTACTTGAGCGAATTGCTTTGATATTTTATTTCTTTAGTTTCGGTACCGCCAATATTTTTACACTTTCTACACATTTAACTAAAAACTGTCCATGCGTTTTGCATGTTATATATCTTTTAACGTCTCTCTATTGTTTGGGTCCTTTAAAAAGCTAGACGGAAGTCGACAGCATATAGACATTGAATTCTATTTTGAACAAATAGGCATAGTTTGTCGCAAAAAAGAAAGATCGTATAACTTTTGGAATGCGATTTTCATTTTTATTTTTTATTTTACATATAGGTTTATGACTGGTGGCGGTCGAACAATAGGGACAAGTATCCCAGCAGTCTCCTGGTAACGGTGACATCAATCCCACCGCCGAAACTTCAATCAGTTCTTTATGAAAAGCTGCCAATAAACGATCTCCTAAATGATTCGCAAAACGATTTGCGGGATCTTTCAAAATGTACGTCGGAGTCGATAGGTCTTCCTAAATGGGCGCGATTAGCGGCTCAATCTTGCAAAATCCCGAATGAGAAGATGTTCGAGACGGAAGTGAGTGAAAGAGGCTGTTTCTACGTCGCCTTCAGCAACGACGGCAAGTATCTGGCTTGCGTCCATTCCGAGGAGTACTATTACCCAATTGTCGTTTACGAGGTGCGTCAATTATATCACAGATACCGCAAACAAATGTAAAGGAGAGGAGAATGAAAGAAAAGTGTGAAAATGATAGTGAAATTTCTCTGAGTTAATAAGATCGTGAAAATTCAGTTGTTTTTATTTGTGTTCATATTGCTATCAATTATGTTTACTATTATTTCGATTTCAGGTCGAAACCAGCAAGATCCATGTTCGATTTCTCGGTCACAAGGCTTTCGTGTACTCTCTAAATTGGTCCAACGACGATCATTGCCTGTTGTCGGCGTCGGCAGATCAAACGGCACGTATCTGGGACATTCGCAATCAGATCGTGCAGCACATCGAAGTAATTATCCACATCGAACAAAAATTCCTAATAAATATCTAAACATCTGTTATAAAAATTCAAAACATTTTCTATTGGACGTGTGTATCTTTTTATAGATGTCTATCAGACATCTATAGGTTCGCTTACTTTATTTGATTTATATTCAGTGTATTATATAAGTATTTTTTTGGAAATTATAGAAGCAAATATAATTCAATAAGAATTAAGAAAAAGTATTATATTTTTAAATATATATCTATAGCGAATTTATCGACAAATTTAAATAATATATAAAACTTGGTTTTAAATAATTAAAATCATGGAGATAACATGAAATCCATTAGACATTCAACAAATATCCATGAAAATAGTTACCTTTTTAAAGTTACAAAGAGATTCCAAGATTAATTTTTAATTATAAGCTTCTTTCAATTTTTTAAATATCTAAAACTGTGTGTATCTTATTGTGATAACAATAAATGCGTTTTGATACATTCGCATTAATTTTTTCTAATAGGTATTTTTATATTTAATTAAAAAACTTGTCAGATTACGTAAAATTGTTTAAAACGTAACCATACGTAGCAAACCTTCTTTAAAATGTATTGTTGAAAGAACGTATATTAAGAGGAAATTTGTGTATAATATAAATGTACACAACAAAACAAATTTATTGCAGGTGCTACCACATCCTTCGTATGTCTATTGCGCCAAGTACGGGCCCGGCAATGCGACGATCGTGGCGACAGGATGTTACGATCGAATCGTTCGCATCTGGGTGAACGACAGGAGGTCAAGGAAGCGAGAATTGAACCAGGAATTGGAAGGTCACGAGGGTTTCGTCAATTCGATGGTCTTTCAAAAAAACGGTAACTTGATTACCGCCGACAGCGTGGGATTGATAATTCTTTGGACGATCCGTATAGACAGTAAGATATCATCGAAGAGGACGGAGTGCATCTTGAGAAAGATAAAAATCCGCGAGATCGAGGGTATCGTTATCAACACGATCGTCTTGCATCCCCTCGAGTCTAGACTCCTCGTACATTCAAGAGACAACGGCCTGCGAATGCTGGATCTTGCGACCGGTGTGGTATTGCAAAAGTATAAACGGCTCAACAATCAAAGGCACGTTGGGTGAACACTTTTTATGCATTCTTGACATTCGCGTTCTCAAACACACACACACTGCAATTAATTTTATTTATGTCATATATATATATATCACATGATATACGAAGACAATGTTCAATATTGAATTCGTTCCTTTTTTTGTTGCTTTCTCTTTTCCATTTTTCACAACTTTTTTTTCGATACGTTAATTTTCTTCCTTATTCTATTTTTCTCCTTTTTATTTTTTTAAAATTCATATCTTCTTTTTTTCTCTCTTTCTTATATGCCTTTATGTGCTCTCATTTAAATTTAAGTTTACTTCACACTTTTTTCTGTATTTTTTCTCAACCTTTTTTTATTCTACGTCTATAGCTCTGCTTCTCAACAGATTTTTCAAATCTCTGTTACACTTTACATTTGTTTTACTATTATTGCTGCTTCTCGTTCTGTCCCACTTTCTCGTACTGTGGTTCATTTTATAATTATATTTTCTGTTTGTTAATTCGATCTATCGTGCGAGTCTCTCTTCTTTCTTATTTATAGAATACAATTGAAAGCCTGTATATCTCCCTGCGGTGGATTTGTTATATGCGGTAGCGAAGATTCCATATTGAATATCTGGAATTTGGAGACAAGTAAACTCGTAGCAAAGTACACGAATAATGGACGTAATTCGGCTAAGATGATTGTTACCTGCGTGGATTACCATCCCTACGATCACGTTTTGGCATACTCGATATTCGGTAGTCCTACGCCAGTACATGTTTTGAGATACAATAAAGACGCTAGTGGCAACGACGTTGGATTATATCTTACGGAAGATGCGTCGCAAAATCGGGGTAATGAAGTGATCTTGAATGCCTCGAGTTGCCCTCGACAGAGTAAACCTAACGCAACAGGGAGAAAGAAAATGCCCCCTTTGCTTCATCATTTAACAACCGATCACACGACAATACAAATCGAAAATAATGATCATGGACGACTGTGGACAATGCCGCACTATTCGAGAGAAATGGAGCGAAATTGGAGAAAGAAGAGCTGGGATCGGCTTCACAATATTATTGAAAAGATCGACTCAATTTTATTCGGGAATTCAATGCTTTTTGAAGACGTCGCCGAAACCAAACAGAGTTCCAGCGCGACTGAACGTGGTGATACTTGGACCAACAATACATCCAATATCGCTCTTCATCGAGATATGTTTCTCGAAGATCACGCCGTGAACTCCGCAAAATCTCATGACGATCTCGGAAATGGTAACACCACACGGTCTAGTTTTACGACTGTATCCAAGAGTCCGGATCATTCGTTTGATTTTCGCAATTCGGTAGCTGCGTTCGAAAAAGCAGATATGTCGTCGCGCATAAGCTCCCCAGACAGCGCGGGTACTTATATCGTAGAAATGTCGAACTTCAATAAAAACGTCGAAGTTGCTGCCATAGCTGAAGAGAAAGATTCCGTCCAAACGATTGAAAGCGATAACTCACGGATTAGCAATGTTACTTTCCTCATAGAGAATGAACGAGCGTAAGTGATATCATTTCTTACACCTCCTTTCAAGTTGAATTTTCTTATGTTTGGTCCCATTAATATGATGTGTTCTTCTATCTTCAGCGTATTGTACAATTTTACCAATATATTAGCATATTTTATATTTTATTTATTTATAAAAAAAATTAAATGCACGTGGAAAAAATTATACATAAACTTTATTTTATGCTGTAACTTTAGTCAGCAGATAAATAGAAAAATAAAAATATATTCATTACAAATAAATCTTGTGAGAATTTCTAATGACACGCTTACAATATGGCGAAGAAGTAACCCAATCCAGGTCAGATCACGTATCAGAAGCGATTAATCGTATAATGTTCGACATATGTGTTGTGTGTGTGTGTATGTATGTATGTGTATATATTATATATGAATATACACATATAGAAACTATACATGTATAGATGTAATTTCTTTATTTATAGATATATGGAATGCTGTTACTTAGTTAATTAATGTATTATACACAGCCAATCTTTTGTCATTAGACAATCATACTGTTTCGTTTAATATATATCGTGAATTAGCTGCGAACGACAAAAATTAAAAGGGATACAACATATTATTAAAGAATACTCGACATAAAATTAATGTCTTAAAGAAATACAACAAAATTATAATAAAACTACTTTGTAAATAAACTGTACTTTGTTACAAGATCAACGGTAATTACATATCTATTCATGTGTAATAACAAAAACTTAATTCATAACGGCAAACGTTAAAAAAAAGCTAATGTAATGCGCGTATAATTGTATACAAACCATTATATGAAAATGAGTAGTTTCATCGAAAAGTTCTGTCAATATGCGTGTTATCTATTTTGCTTGTATTTTTTGATATTTAAGAAAAAAGAAAATTTTTAGATAACAAAACTGACAAATTTAATTAAAACTCAAAATAATCATTTGTTATTCTATTTTAACGCCTATGTGCGCAACAATCCGTAATCATGACGTCATGGAAAAAATAAAACTTTATAAGGAAACCCATTGGAAATATCCCTCTCTGATTTTGAAGAGCTCTGAAAGTTTTCTAAACAAGATTATACGATACAAATTTTTTTTATATCTAATTAATAAAAAACACACTTTTAGAGAATGCAACACCTTTCGAAGAAAATTTATTGTCTTTCAAAGAAAATTAAAACTATAAGAAATAGAAAAAATATTTAAAATAGTTTTAAGAGTACTTAATGATTGTAATTAAAAAAAAATAAGAAATATTATTTATACACATTTTTTTAAATTATATTATAAAGTACTTTTCAAACTATTCAATTTTTCTTCAAAACATATTTTTCTATCGCTTCGAAAAAAAACCAAGTTTCTTCAAAAGGATGTTTGCATCTCCTGAACATGTGATTGGATCTTTATAAAAAAATACGTGTTGCTTATTTTTGTTTAAAAAACAACATAATCAAAGCTCACCAAAATCAAAGGGAGATATTTTCATAGGTTTTTTATTAAAAATTTCATTGCGTCGTTCTTTCATGACAAGTTCATAGATATAGAAGCGATCCATTATCACGGCATTGTAGGATAACAACAACATACTCATAAAGAAAAAAATAGATATTTGTATCGACTAATGTAACCGGCTAAGAAGGAAGACCTTCAACTCCTTCGATATATTTGGCACGCTTTTCTTCTACTAATAAGTTATCAATGTATATGTCTTTTTCAGTGCTGGTGTCAATCAGTTTTAAACCCAACATGGTACCATTGACTGGCGAGAGATTGTCAAATACTGACTCCATGATTATAGAGACAAAATTCTTCTCAAGTACTAAATCCTTAAATTTGACGCAGTCGGTTACCGTCCAGTCAACATTTACAGGCTCTATTCCTAATCAATGTTAAGTCATTGTTAGAACTACTTGCAAGAAGTAATATAAGAGTTTAAGTTACATTTGTAACACAAAAAACTTTTTCTTACCAACGAGTTTAGCCTTTACTGCTTGATATGGTAATTTCATGAATTTACTCGCCAATGGTTGCAAATTATTGGAAGATATTATCGTCACATCGCCGTAGTCACAGAAATATACAGATACTTCATTAACACTAATAATATCAGTAACATATACTCTAAAATAAATATGTTATTTATGAACCATTATATTATTATATTCTTATTTATATTGCGAAATAATGTATTGCATACCTATACCATTCATTTTGGAATTTTCCTGCATAGAGTTTGCTTTCACTGATAGACTCCAAAGGTGTATTATCGTTTGTATCATAGTATTGTCGTAAGTCCATCATCATTTCCTGGAGATGAAAAAACCAGCGTCAAAATATATTTAATTAATTAAATATATTTAACATACCCTTAAAAAATTCTTATTAATTTTTACATACTCTTAACTGGCTAGCATTGTTCAATGGTTGTACAATAAAATGTCCTGGATGCGCAACCAATGTTACATGAACGTCAAAATACTGACCGATGTCTGAAATTACAGGTGGATTCAATTTGCCGACGATCTCGGGTGCGCGAGTATTCTTGCGATCCAATCGTTTCTTGGACTTGTTATTATTATTGCTATCATCGTTGATTCTACACAAACATAATAGAAGCTCGTTTAATGAAATTTATAAAGCTAGTACAGTTATAAAAACACCGAGTTCTATAAATAAATATATAGCAAAAATGAAAGATAGGAATATAAAATATAAAGACCAAACATACACATGGCGATAACATAGTTCATAAAAAAACTGGCAAAATGTTTACTTTGATAGTTCGCTGGTATAAATTAGCGATGTATTTATCGAAGCCAACATATTACTCGGTCCAACTCTTTTAAAAATCTCTACTATTGGAATTCCAGAATTGGTGATCCTAATAACTCTCGCTAAAAGCATATCTGTATCCGCAACTAATTCATGGAATCTTGCCACGAATCTCTTGTTGTACATTGACTGGTCAATATTGTGCAGAAAGATCAGCATTGCCTAATTTTTTACAAATGAATACATGAATGTAAGTTTTATCTTCACGAAAAATTGAAGAAATATTAAATCCGATGTCGATAAAAAAAAAAAACAATTTTCTCATACCTGTGGAGGGATGCACTGTACAGCCTTTGATATTCTGTTTATGTGAAATAGATTTTCTATTGGTATAGAAATAGTTTTACCAACGTCAATCAGAGATACCATTACGTTTTGCTCGTCAAGAATATTAGTTACTCTCGCCCTGTATAATTGCAAATTCCACTTCGCAAGGTACGTTTTCGTAAAGTTAATCTCATTCGCCATTGTATTGTTTGTAACAAGTTGCAACATATTTTCGTTATTCAATACAGTTTTGATGAACGAATTTAATTGCGCATAAACTTTACCATGTTCGTCTATGTGCGTGATATTTAATTCTTCGATTAATTGTCCCACCTGCGAAAGACGGCCGATATATCCGAAGGCAAAAAAGGATCGCAGTAACAGAAAATCGTGATAATAAATAAAAAAACAATTACACGCATTTTGGATATTAGTTCTTTATCCATGATCTCCAAAATTTTGTCAACTAGGATTTGGTTCACATCAATATCTTCTTCCCCTTTGCTGGTATCGCAAAAAGTTGCTGTTACGTATGAGCCGTATTCATCGCTATCCATACCATGTATTTTCACGTAAAATAATTGATCGATTAAAAGATAATTTTCGATCTCCGTTACTAACTGGACACAATCACGGAATTCCTTTAATCCATGAAGACCTACTCTCATAGCCTATATAAAATAGAAACATACATAAAATAGAATCAGATTATGTACGTTCATGCCCGTTTGCGATATAGATTTATTTCAATCTCGGTTCCCAATGTACTTTTCACCGTTTTCTAATTTCTAGAACTAGAAAAAGATGAAGTATAAATTGAATTTAAATTAAAGTCAATCTATAATGGCAGAAGTGGGAATTAAATAGTTACTTGAAATGAAAGAGAGTTGAATCTCTTATCCAAAGGATGCAACACGTCAGATTTATATTGCTCTACGTATCCCTCGTCAATAAAGAAAACCGTGGCGATTCCGGTTTCATTGTTATAATCTGTACACTGAACTCGATGCCAATAATTTTCCTCGAGTACGGCATAAAAATCGCCAGGCACGCATGCCGCGGACGAGGTGGATTTACTTATTTTATCATAATAACTTGTCATTTCGTTTGTCATATCAACAAATTCGTTCTACAAAACAAGATAAGTGTTAGCCCGTAGAAAAAGATGAATCGATAAACGATACAATTAGAATACTTACATTGTCATCGCCTAGTCGAACCCAAATTTCAACAGTATTTACAACGTAAGTAACATATACTTGCCAAATGAGTGCTTCAGGTACTGGCAATACAGTGGGCGTGGCAGGCCCAATCGGATTCAATTGTATTTTCTTGTTAGTTAGAAGAATATTCTCAGGAATATTCTTGGATGCGGAATTACTGTCCAACCGCTAAATAAAAAATACACAATGCACATTTTCTTATCGACAAATAAAATACAATGCATATTGTATATTACTTTCAAAGTCGGAGAATGTAGGCACAGTATCATGGAATCCCCAACACCTTTTTCTTGATTTATATCTATGCAGTCTTCAATAATTGTTTGCCAATTGTGGGGCAGAGCCTCCCCATATTGTTCGTTGTAATATTCCGGTAATAGATGCATGAAGACTCCACTATGATGCGTGGTTATAATATTTAAAATGCGTTTTTTAATCAATTTCGTATCGACAGTTGTTACTTCAGAACTCATCGATTCCTTAGCAAAATGTCTCAAAGCTAAACGTGCTGCCATTTTCTCGGCTTCCTCTTCAGTCGCTGCGTCCTCCGGGTATGTGTGAAATGTATGCTCACCAGCCTATAAGATTCATCGATCAATGTAGAAAATTATATCATTCAATAATATATATTTACATATGTATACAATCGATATATTTACTTTTACACTGGCATAGATGGTGACTTTAGCAGAATGTTTCTCTTTCTTTGAATACATTTTATATAATGGTAGTGGCATATTTAACATGTTAGCGAGAACTTCCAACTCTTTCCGAGAATCAAGAGCCTCCGATGGCGGTGCAACCTGCAAGAATTAATAAACTTTCACGAAAGGCGAGTGAGTGTATAATTTAATATAGACCACTGAGAATTTAAAATTAAAAAAACTGTTTTTTGTTTTGTTCTTTTACCTCTTCATCCTTCAAGATTGTAAGTGATAAAACAAATACAAAATTAATTTAAAACTAAATTATTTCAAAACAAATTATTCATATTGAAATATTATAAATAATATACAATATCTCATTTTACAATTATGTCTCATACAGTAATGTTTTAGTATATAAATTATATTCTTACCTGTGGACTATCAAAAATGGGTGGAACAGATGTATAACCATTGTTGTAGTTATTAATTGGTGGTAAAGGTATTTCAGGAGGAGTAATTCTGAGCCTGTCGCTTAATTTTGAGGTTTTCGCTTCTACAGTCTTTGGCTTTTGATTTATCACAGACGAAGCTGTATTGTCATTTAATACTTCAGTTTTTATATTATCTTTAACAGTTTTATAATTATTAACACTTTGGTTTATAGTTGCTACACTTGGAATTGTCACCTTATCAGTCAGTCTCTAAAAGTATAATTAATAATGATTTATCAATAGTTACAAATTACTTCAAATTTTAGTAATCTATGGCTGCATTTGTGTTTTTGTCGTCAACAATCTTTCAAGCCCGTTGATTGATTATAGAATAGAGAAATTCAAAGACCTCTTTGTTTTGCATACATTTGTCGTACGAAAAACGCACAAATGAAATAATATCCTAAACCTGCACTCACTTTGGGAAAAGTGGATATAGTCGGAGAACTTGGTGGTGTAGTGAAACTCGGTTTCGTGTTATTGAGCGAATATGGACACTGTACTATATTTTCCATAAGAGGTACAGGTCTAAAATAGGATTATAAATATATAAAATTATTTACATCTCTTACACGATACACACACATGCACGCACGCACGCACGCACGCACGCAAATAAATGATTTCAATCGATCTCTCAAATTAGTGTTTGTAATCAAATCATTTAAAAATTAAAAAATTGTAATTAAATCAGGAATAGAGAGCAACATATCAAACGAATATTAAATGTTTAAATAAATAAATTACTTAAAAATAAACTTAACTCATTACTTATCGGTATTTATTATAGATACGGTTATTTTTACTTTAATAAAGAATACTCTTAGATCAAGTTTAAATATCATAAGTACCTGGTAACATTTGTGTACGAGTTATTCTTCTCGGGTGTTGATCTAGTAAAGGAACTGTGAGAAGTAGTAACATAATTACTTCTAGCAGGCTGAAAACCACTGTTGAAATTATTATTTTTAAAACCAGACGAAAAACCTTTCGCATGTCGGGGTGGAGTCCACTAAAAAAGATTCTATAATTAATCACAGTAAATACATAGTTGAATTGTTTGAGCTTCAACATTAAGGCAAGCGTGTAGTAAATAAACTGATACAACGTATACTATAAAATAATCAATGTATGTGTACATGACAGTTATTTTCTAGGAAATATGAAGTATTAATAAATTACTTTTTTTGGTTGCGGTCGTATTTTTCGTCGTGTACTCTTCTGTCGCGAAACTAATTTTGTAAGATGCGCCGATGTTTTCGAAGGTAGCGCTTCCACAAACAGTTCTCCATTTCTTCTATTCACTGTAACATCTGGTATATTGCGTACGAAAGCCTCGACAGAAGAAAATCCAAATTGTTTAAAAGGTAATAGTTCTCCTGTTATCATACGATAGTCCGCTACAAAGTAAAAATCAAGAATTACTATCAGTCTTTCAGGATGATTAATAGCACATAAGTAAAATATAGAAATATTTATTAGTAGATTGTAAGCTCCATAACTATGTTTATAATTGCGCTTTGCAGTAAGAATTAATAATATTTACTCCTTAAATTGTCTAGTTTGATACCACCCTTGCATGATATCACACATGACCGCAACTTCCTTATTACTTCGTCTAGGTCCATTGTGATTCTCTCTTATAAAAGAGAGATCACAGGTAGACGTAGTTAAATTTCAGTTATTTCGACTGATGATCTACAACAGATTTTAATAAATGTTAATGTATATAATTAAATTGTACGATAAAGGTATGAATCTCTGTATTATAACATTTTCAACAAAAAAATAAAATTCCAGAAAAATTTGCATTATGTACAACAAGAATCCAAGCCACAAACAAATATACTCTGGCATGAACAAAAGCAAAAGAACATATTCACATAATGATGACAAATAATCTTAATGGGCTTTCTGCAATAAGTTATCAACTAAACTTTAGTCATATACCATAAGAAATTGACCATTCATAGTCAAATGTGAGAAGAATAATCAACATATTAAATTCTTAGGGCTTAAGATTTAAGCTCAAGTAATGGCTTGTTGTAGAAAGCATTAAGTTTAAGTAATGACTTATTGTAGAAAATCTATAAGATATATTATATATGTTAGTTTTGGATATCAGTAATCATACTTGCATGTTAAACTTTTTCGACATATATTCTTCAACGTCAAGTAAAATATAAATGTAACTTGTAATAAAAATCTGATAAAAATAAACTAGAAGGAATTATTCACAAAAATCATTTATTTTATATTTATTACTAGTAAACAAACAAAATAAAAAAATGCATTATACATTTAAAAAAATGATGTTATATCAACAGTATTATTTTGATTAAAAATAATCTTGTTAATTTTTACAACATTAATAAAACAAATATTTTATTACAACAAGATAACATGTTTGTTTTATTTTAATTATTACAATATATTAATAAAAATTTAAATTAAAATGATGCTGATATTTTTTTTCAGTGTACACATTTCTCGTATATGTAATTAACTGTCGTTAAGGCACATTAATTTTACTTAGATGTCATATAATAAATAAATAATATAACAATATAAAAGATATTATAATAATAAAAATCCTTATCCTACATATAATTCATATAACATTTATATATCTCTATATCATTCCTTCTTAAAAAAAGCTCTCTACAACTCATTTTCTCTTTAGATAAGAGAAAGGCGGAAGAAAAACCACAAATGAACAAATAGTATTTCTATTTCCAAATAACTAGCATTCCCTAAAGCACACACAATCCCAAGTTTGCTCTTCACAGTTTACACACCTTCCCTAATATTACTTATTATTTGTTAATATTACCTTCTATTGTCTACGAAACACGCCGGACATTTAACGTCCAATTAAATCACCGGTAAGTATGCCCATCACCTACTTTTAGCTCAATGTCTGAAAGTCGCACTCGGCGGAAACGCGCAGCTAAAAACAAACTTAATGAACTGCAGTCCGCGTCTCTGCACGACGTACGTGCACCATGAAAACACAGAACTGTCGCTTGAATGAACAGTGTTTCGGGCACAGACGAAATCGTGTTTCGGCGGCACGTAAACAAATACGACCTCGCAGACGAGGTGGGACGTATTCGCGTCTTCACATACTGCCATATGTCGCGTTCGGCGACGATCCGCGGAAATCGGGCATCAGGACAAGTGAAACGGTACCCCGCGACTACACCTACCAGGTCGCCACCAGGGACCAGCCGACTATTAGAACGGGGTCATTAGCGCGGGGGAGGGGAGGCGTATTAATGTATATACCTTCTCTCTTTAGAACACCGAGATTTCGTTCGACTGTTCGTCCCTGTCGTCGTCGTCGTCGCCACCGGGCGCCGACACCACCGCCGCTGCCGTGTGCTGGACGACGACGAACTCGGTTATCTCGATCGCCGCCACCCGTCCTCACAAAAGCGTACGTTTGAGATAGACCTGAGATTTAGGACCTGACCGGACGCGGTGTTTTATCGATATATTGATCGTACGTCTCTTGACGATTTCACGATCAATATGATCTCGAACCTCGGAGAAGACGTGCTAAACACAACCAAACACGACTGGCCGGACTGGCGGAATTGTCGACGTTTCGCGAGAGGCGCGCACTCGTGGATATATCTTTCGTTTTCGCTCTTTCACCGATCTCGCTCGCTTGCTCACTCTCCCGCGCAACGGTCAGCAACAACCGCAACAACAGCCGATTCGCTCGCTAACACTCGTCGAAGTGGGTCGTGACGCATCCGCCAATCACGTGCCTGCTTCCCGGAAATGCGAGCGGGTAATTACAAGAAAAGGTCGAGGAATGCATCTCCCGCGCGGTCAGGGTCCTTTCGAGTAGGAGTGAAAACAAGTGAAAATTGAGGAAGAGTTTCTCGCCCTTTTATTTCCGATGTGAAATTGGATCAACCTGCATGGTTGATCCAATAATCCTCGTAGCGAAGCAAATTAAAAACATTTGAAGTATGGATTTTTTTCACGCGCAGCGCGATGCAGTAGCAATGCGATTCAAATTTTTGAGATCGAACCAATTGAAGATACATCACCTCACGAACAATATTCGACTCGCAACAGCATTTCCTATCGCTGCGTGTTGCGCATATAAGCATCAGCTTTCTACATGTAGAAATAAGCAAGATATTGAAGAGCATTAAATTCAAACAAGTGCATTAAATTTATTATTTTATGTTCATGTATATCTAAATTTTGTTAAAATATATTTGATTTTATAATTTTTTTTTAAATAAATATATATATATAACTTTGAAGTTTATTGCAAAATACGTATTCCATTCTATATTTTTTCTCCTTTTAAGCCTTAATTCCACTAACGTAGAATTACGGTTCATTTTTTTCCTAGTTTTTACAACAAAAAAAGAAAAGTTAATTGAACAAAAGTTTGAACAAAAATCGAAATTTAAGTAAATGAAATAAATATCTTTGAAGTTAAAATTGCAAAATATGTATTCTATTTTCTCTCCTTTTAAAGTTCAATTCTACCAAAGTAGATTAACTTTAATCTCGGTTCAATTTATTCTTAATTTTTTTTTAATTCTTGGAACAAAAAAAAAAGGAGTTGAGTCAAAATTAAAGTTGAACTACCTCAGTAGACACTAATTCTTAATAAGAATTAGAATAAAATAACTAGTAAGTTAGATCGAGATTCAAATTAATCTTGGTTGCGCTCAGCAGAAAAAGCTGATCAATGAGCATTTAAATGATTCTTTAATATAACTGGTTTTTGCCTTTAATTTTTCTCTGGATCTAAGTGTAAGAATTAATCATTTAAAGAATTACTGAGTGTTCAATGATCAGTTTTCTTTGCTGAACGCAGTCATAATGCATAAGAAAATAAACCAAAGTTCCTCATCCTTCGTATCCGAATTTTAAGATTCTGATTGGTTGATTTTGTTATGCCTAATGATTTTCCCATGACAGTCGAAATTTCGCAAAAATCATACGATTAATCAAACCATTTAAGTTTAGCACATTATATAAGCTAATGATTCTAATTAGTCCTAGATTTACAAGATTCCAATTCATGGAAAAGCACCCTTATCATGCAAATATCTGCGCTTCTGTCTTCATCATTAAAATCATTTAATTCATAGTAATTACACAGATTGAAAGTGTGTATATATAAAAGCATAATACATATTGTCATACACACATATTTATAAGTACAAATTTTATATATATATATATATATATATATATATATATATATATACACACTTTTTCATATCTGTACAATCACACGCATTTAATAATATTGTATTGATAATCATTTATATTAATTAATACAATTTAATTTTAATCTCGGTTTAACTTATTCGGTAACATTTTCTTACTTTTTAAAACAAGAAAAATACGTTAAATTAAAATTGAAGTTAATCTACATTGACAGAGAAGACATAGTTAAGATAATTAAATTATCTTAAATTTAAATAAACGAGGAGCAAAAGTATTATAATAATATAAATTAAATAAGCATAAAATTTGGATGAGAGGCCGGATCTTCCTACCTCTTACGTTTTATGTATATTTTTAAATATATCTTTCAATTACAAAAACTATTCGACAGTAAACGACACAAAGTTTATACAACTGAAAAATGTATTTAAAAATGTACATAAAAATATTAAATATTATATTAATAAGCATCAAGATCTAGCTTTTATCGTACATAACATTCTTTAGTTATTCAATTTATTCATACAGCGATCTACAAACTTATCATTAATGCAACAAAATACATAAAATACATACAGTAAAGATCAAACTTGAAGGCTAAAAACGGTAACTGTCTTCTTGTTATCTCCCTTATCAAGTATTCTTTTACAACTACAATGAATTCGCTGAATGTAACATGATCAGTAACCATCATTATCTATCTTCTGATAAACTACGACAAAAGGATGACCGAAGCACTCGTTTGTCACGTAGTTTATAAGAATAAAAATTTTGTGAAACTTTCGATTCATGTCAATTACTTATCGTAGTGTCTTACAACAAGTGTATTATATATGTATATATACAGTTCACCTATAATATATCTTTTTTAGATAAAAGATACACTATAATTGTACTGCAAAAAAATATGTATTTGGAAGTACACTTTATTTTGACTCTACAGGGTAAAGTACTTTAATCGTTCCACATGGATATCTTAAAAATTAAGAGATACAGGAAAAAGTTTTATATAAAAGTTGTAGGTTTTCTCAGGGGGAAAGGTGAAAATAATATATTTTGTATATGTTAATATCAGGAATAAAGTAACTAAATAATCAAGTTTTATAATTTGAAAAGTGAATAAAATAATTTATTATAATATTTTGGAAACATCTTGATTTTAGCTACAAAAATATGCAACAAAAAATAGTGATTTCTATTTATAAAATTCATGTGACTTTGGTAATGATCCATACATAAAATTTGTTATTTCTACCTTCTTTGCCTCCAAGAAAACCTACAACTTTTATATAAAACTTTTTCCTGTATATTTCTTAGTTTCAGAGATATCTGTCTGAGACAATTAAAATGCCCCACCATGTATACCTCACATACGAAAATCTATAATATACATAACATATTTTTATATGCGATATTTT